TTTAAGATCCTAAATGGAACTTTCCGCTTTTTATTGCATATTTTTGTAGCCCTTATCGACGTTTTCAAAACATTATCTACCTTTGTCTTTTGCGTAAGCCATTCCCAAAATATGAAATTTCAAAGTTGATATACCGCCGGTATTCGAATTACCCGATGTACACTGCGGAGAGGTTGCTCGGTCGGATTTGCATTATAGTGGCCCTAAAAAGGGCTGATTTTGTGTATGAGGGGAGAAGGGGGTTCATTCATCATAGGTGTTTGAAAACACCGCCATCGACAGCTCGGCACACTCGAACTCGCTTTTCGAAACTTTCGATGAGTTTCAGAAGAACGTTTGTTGGAATCGCTCGACATATATTTCTGATGCGATCCATCATATCCTGCCGCGTTATTGGCGATTGACGAAACACTACGTCTTTCAAAAATCCCCACAGATAAAAATCCGGAAGAGTAAGGTCGGATGATCTTGGTGATCACCAAATTGGACCATCCCGACCTATCCATTAATGAGGGAAAGTGGCATCGAGGTGATTCCCGGAGGAAAGTAAACTAATGTACAAATTCGACCGAGCAACCTCTCCGCGGTATACATCGAATAATGCGAATGTCGGCGGTATGTCAACTTTTAAGCTTCATATCTTGGAAATGGCTTAAGCAAAAGACAAATGTAGGTAGTGTTTTGAAAACGTCTCGACAAGAGGTACAAGAATATGCAATAAAAAATAGGGATTTCATTTAGGATTTTAAAACTGATCTTTATGTGATCTTCAAAGGAAAATCCAAAGTCAAGCTAGGGTCACCTTCAGATGTCCCCCTCTAAACCCTATAACTTTTGTTTAAAATATTTTTTGCGATCTGGCTTACCTGACGAAATATTTCCGATTATCGATTAAAATGGACCACTCTATATATGTGTATGCATAAATACAGGGTGAGCGGAATTTTTTGGAAACGAAGAATTGTGAAGGTTAATCACTATGCGAGTCCGTTCAAGCGAGTCGTTCTCGCGTTCGATGGTAGGAACTTATAACACATTATACAGCGTCGCTGTATTCGTGCAATGTTATACAGTGCCTGCCAAAAATTCTGGGCCATCTAAATAACTTCTGAATGATTTAAGATAATGGATTGAAATTTATAGGGAGGGATACAATGGAATTAAAATGTCTATCATTTAACCACAAAAACACCCACTTCTACACTATAGGGGGCAGGGAGAGAGGGAGGTCGGAAAATCTTAAATGACATGTAGGGTTGAATGAGGGCTCGTTTCCAGAAAGGGTTTCCTGAGACGAGAACATATGGTCGTCGAGGTTTCTATGATTTTTTTTGCAGAGTTATGATCATTTAAATATTTCTATTCAGATTTTGCGATAAAGAGGTCACGGAGAATAAGATAAGGCTTCACGTGTTTCTAAGTAGGTATATACACGCGTGTGTATATGTGCACGTGTGTGTGCGTGCGTGTGTGTGTGCGTATGTGTGTGTATACGTGCGTGCGTGTGTGCGCGCGCGGGCGTGTGTGTGTGTATTCGTGTTCGCTGCGAGGACAAGGACTCCGTGGTTCATCAGCTCCACAATATTTCACGACTGCAGACCTTCCTTGCTGCAAAAAATGCAGCTATAAAATGCTTAACACTGATATATGTATGAAGGAATAAAAACACTACTTATTTTATTAAATGTTCGAACTGGTGTCCTTCGACAACTTAACAGTGTCCTAAACGAACGTAACAATCACACTAGATCTTATAACGTTATGGATACGTTTTACGTTCGCTTAGGACACTGCTAAGTTGTCGAAGGACACCAATTCGAACATTTAATAAAATAATTAGTGATTTTATTCCTTCATACATATATCAGTGTTAGAATCTTTATGAGTGCGTCTGTATTTTTCGCGGTAAGGAAAGTCTGGAGTTGTGAATTATTGTGGAGCTGACGAATTACGGAGTCCTTCCTCGCGGCGAACACGAACACACGTGCGCGTACGCACGCATGCACGCACACGCACGTGCGCGCACACACATACACACACACACACACACACACACACTTCTATCTACTTAGAAACACGCGTGAAGCCATATCTTATTCGCCATGATCTCTTTTACAAAATCTCAATAGAAATGTTTAAATGATCATAACTCTGCGAAAAAAGTCGTAGGGACCTCGACGATCCTGCGTTCTTTTCGTCTCTGAAAGCCCTTTAAAATGAATCCTCACTCAACCCCACATATCATGTAAGATTTTCCGACCTCCCTTTCCCCTCGTCCTTATAATGTAGAGGTGATTCTTGTGATTAAATGATAGACTTTGTAATTCCATTGTATCCCCATAAATTTCAATCCATTACCTTAAATCATTCAGAAGTTATTTAGGTAGCCTGGAACTTTTGGCGGGCACTGTACATATGTGTGTGTGTATGTTTACTTATCTTTTTGTACAGAATGATGACATAAATAAAATATTGCGATTTTATCGAAAATGTTTGTGATGACCTTATCGTGACCTTGAAAGAGACTCTTAAGATCAAACAAAGATCTTATACAGGGTGTTCATTTGAAAATTTCCAACTAATTATCTCGAAAACTATGAAAGATATTAGAAAAAGCTAAAACACATGGTCCATGATTTCGAAGGGGAAAGAGAATGTCATTATCAGTTTTTTATTTGGAGGGCATTTGCAAGGTCAGTTGAAGATCAACTTAATTTTTTTAAATAGGAAGCCCAGTTTTTTATTATGTCATTTTTTTACTAATT